CCCCACCCACATCACCCCAACCATCCCCATCCACCTCACACAGCATCACCGTACCCTTCCTCCCTCGTCATCACCCCCACCGCCCCCTACCTCACCTCACTTCCTCTCACCTTATAAACTTACTACATGAGAACATAATTTATGATTCAGAATTGTTATTAATTCACTCTCTCTTTCCTTTCGAACTCTTTTCCTTCTCTTCCTTACTCATTTAATTTCTTCTGTCGTTTTTCTACTTCCTTTCTCTTTCCGCTTCTCTTTCCTGTCTACCATCTTCTTAACAAACGTCTCTTCTTCCCTTTCTCATTAATCCTCCCTCTATCTTCTTTTCTGTAATCCATTCGAGAATGACATGATTTAAAACCTTTTTAGATGTATAATTTATTAAAGTGACCAATTAGTTTAGGTCATTATTACGCTTGCTGCCTTATAAAATGAATCTTTTAAATTAATTCTCGAATGTCCTGATCGGGGCTCGTGGCCTCAGAAATGTGCTTATCACTGTTAAAAAGACTACACATATAAAAATATTAAACTTATAAAAAGTATAAATGTAATGTTTTTGGCGATGTTGAGATCAATAAAAGTTGTTGCTGACTGTCCAAACACTGGTGTGCGGACACTAGTTCGGGAACAGTCAGAATGTAAGTTCCATTCCGTCCCAGGGTGCGGCCATTGTTCAGTTCGCAGGAGAGCGTGCGGCCGCCTCCGCGGTCGCAAGAGTCGCTGCGCAAGATGGCGAAGGCCCAGGACGCAGCGTCGGTGCCCGCGCGCAGCGCCCTCAGCCTGCGCTCCGCCTTCAAGTGGGAGAACCCCAAGAGCCGCTCGCGTATGCCCCCGCCCCGCCCCGCCCCGCTGCGCCCACCCTCCTGCTTCTTGTACTTCTGCTTCTTCACCTGCTGCTACTGCTGTTACTTCTTCTCCAGATGCTTCTTTCTTCTACTTCTGCAGTTTCTTCTTCTTTAACTGCTTCGTCTGCTTTTTCTTGACCTGTTGCTGCTGCTTCATTAAAACTGGTTCTTATTCCTCAACTAGAGCTGATTTTTTTTAATCTGCTGATGTTTTTCCTTATTCATCAGATATTGTTTATTAACGTGTTCCTTCTATTTCATTTTCAGCTTCTGCTTCTTCTTCTTTCTCGCTGCTTCTCTTCTTCTGCATCAGCTTCTTCCTTTTCTTCTTCTTCTTTTGCAGCTACTTCTTTTTCTTCTTCTTTGGCTTCTTCTTTACTTACCACACTCTTTTTACACTTAAACGTATACAAATGCACTCTCAGATATGTCGGGCGACCAGTCGGAAGCTTACAGCTTGTCCCAGCCGATTATTTTGTATTTCCAGGCGTTGCAACAGCAATAGTCATTAGTTCAGTAAGTGTAGGCATGATTTTTATCACGAGAACTGGCATTAATCTTCCCTTGCTGGATAGTGGGATCCGGTGCCAAACTAGAAACCGCCTTGAGTAGTTTTCTCCCTCCCAACCAGGTATTTTTGTCCATAAGAGAATTGCTCGAGCTGGGACGAGCGGTAAACCCAATACTGATCATCCTATACGTGTAGTAGTCTAGTGCACGCAAGTGTAAGTAGGGGGTGAGGATGGAACAAACGAAAACAAGAGAAGGAAATATTGCGCGCATTCCGTTGTAAGCCCAGCATTTGCTTGGTGTTGATCGGAGAAATAGCAGAAAACTACTGATCAGATTTACCTGACAGCTAGATTTCTCCTCGAGACAGCAGCTGAATTCGACGTAGCTATTTTTCTAGTACCCAACATTCCGTCTGTGAGGCTCGTACCCTAGGACCTCCCCGCCAGAGACACTACAATGACATCAGTTGATGCCCTGAGTTGAGTCAGTCAGACGTGAGTCAGCCCTAAGCTACCGAAGCCGGTACCTGGTTGGGAGAGAAAGAGCAAGTCGAAGTTTAGGTTGACGCCGTATCTCAGCATCCAGAAGGGGTATATCATCGCCAACTCCCGGGATAAAAAATGTACTGCTCGTGCAAGAATAATAACTATAGTAATTGACTCGCCCGGAAACATGAAATAATCATTCAATCAAACTTTTCAACTCATTTTTTCTTCTGTCGCAATGTGTAATTCTACTGAACGTAGTGGTAGAGAATGCTTAGTCGTCGTTGACGTTTTCATTAAAAAATAATACTAAAACTTATTTATATTACTTATTTATTTATTTTTATTTATTTATTTATTTATTTATTTTGAGCGTTAACAATAATAATATTTCTTACACGTTGCTTCATGCATGCAACATAAAACATAATTTATATTATTCTTTTAGCTCTTTGCGATACCAGAAAATAACATGACAGGAAAAATTCCTGTTTTGCTGGATTTATAAGATGACACATGCACAACCCCCAGAATTTGTGCTTCTGTTTATTAGGAAATTATACATCAAAAATGTTTTAGGCAAAAACCGTATTTTCTCTATTTTGTTATAAAAAGGTCAGAAGGCGCATATGCATAAACAAAACACGCGTTATGTTGACACCACCGTCATAAATGACTTTGGAAGATTGCTTAATAGCTTCTGGAATCCCGGTTTGGATGCTTTGGAACTGGAACACGAATAACATCACTGGCTGCAATCTACAAAATCGTGGGTACCGTCACAAGCACAGGTAATTAGAAGGTAAATTATACAAACGCATGCAAAATTAAATGGAAAATCAGTGTTTTGTTAAATAATTTAAAATCACACGGGTGGAAGTGTTTCTTTGGATTTAAAAGGTTAAAGGATTGAAAAGGATTTAAAAGGTTTGCAATATTTGAATGTTCATCTGAGTATTGGGCTTAAATGATGCTCAGTTTAGAGCCTGCCTCCAGTGTCAAGTTATTTCATCTTGCAAACTGTGATTTATCAGAACAAAGTATGGTACGTTTGCACGGGCACAACTCTATTTAATTCAATTCGAAATAATTATGGTTATTAATATAGTTTAAGAAAGCAAATGCAAACAATATGTTTGTAGATCGCCGTCATCGTCACGTCAGATTTGCTTCGAACGAGAAATCCTACAGAAAATCCTCCTCCCAGGAATGCCTCGAATCCGCGCTTTGGCCTGTGGCTTTGCCGCACTCGTACGGCAGCAACGCCGCCCGCAGTGCCAAGCACCAAGATGTGGAGAGGGACACCCACACTCCTGAGGTCAGCATTGCGCCCACAGTTTAATGTGCCACCACACCTACTACTATGTTTTTGACAGCGGAAAACATGGCGGCCTCTAGTACTGCAACCGACCATTTGAAGTGCTAAAATCGCAGGATAAGTCCCTCTACACAGTAATATTCTATCTCGTAGGTGAAGACTCGTGTCGTTATCGATGTGAAATATATCACTAACCGCGGGAAACTAATTGCAGGTCACCACCATTCGACCTCATGTTAATTCGATGTAGCCGTCACGTTTATGTTGTGCGATTTAAACTGAGACATACATAAGCATGATTGTGTATTTTTGTTTTGCCATGAATTCTCTGCTGCGTTGCTGTGACGTGCAATTTATGCCATTTTGAAAGAAGTATTGGTGAGAAGTATTATGAAGACGGTTCCAAATTAGGATGAAATTGCATAAACTGTTCTAGAAATCACAGCAAAAGATTTCTACGTCAGATCCCTCAAAAACCATATTCAGCGACTCCCCACGAATATGACTGAAGCAATATAAGAAAGTGTGTGGTTGTAGTATATACTTCGTAATAATGTTTTTGTTCATTTGCGATCGGCCAGTGCTATTGTGTGTAATCAATCTTGCTTTCTGTTTGGTTGTTTGATGGGTCAGCCCGTGTTAGCAGTGGACTGTAGGTGGAACACCTGTTGTTGAACTGTCTCATCACCTGCCTTTGATAACTCTCTCTTCCTCTCGAATCATCAGGTGCTTTTTCGAATATGCATTAAATCTCCTTCCTGAAATTGGGTAATCACATGAAGAGTTGCAATTAATCGAGAAATCAAAAAGTGCTTGATGAATTGAAGACATTTAATTAAACACTAATTAGGAATTACAGACAAATGCCAATGAATACTCTCTCACAAAAGAGAAGAACGTAGTAAATATACTGTTGATAAGTTAACATTAATTGGGATATGGCAATTAAAGATATTAATGAATTGTTCTCTTATGATACAAATAATGATAGTGATTACACTGTGAGCAACTTCCATTTGTTGTGGATTGGATGAAAGATATCGCTTTGAAGACATTTGATAATCTGTTATGAGTGATAAATACAATTAAGTTGCATTATCATGTTACGGGACGAGTGATGAAGCATGGTTACGTCAAAGGATCTTGAGCAAGATGCATGGACTGCATAGTGCGGGTTGTTGACACCAGATGTCGTTGACGGTGCTAATAGGTCACCAGCGGTCGCGCCACCCTCGAGCATGGGCGCAAGAAAAAGACCTGGCAAGAGAAGTGCGACAATTGAGCTGGCCGTTGTATCGTGAATAAAATGGCGTTGTCCGTAATTGCTACACATTACTGCCAGCATAATCACATACACTAACAAACGTACGAACAGCATATTACACAGTAAATATGTTATTTGGGCACAGACTATATTACAATAATAATGAACCCGAGCAACTGATTCTCACATGAGGAATGTAGACACGTGTATAATTGATACATTACGTAAGATTTAGATTTAAATTTATTAATAATTCTGCAATTAAGTGTGAGAACTTGGTGGCAGAATACACTAACTTAACCATTACAGAACTTAACAACTATACATATCTACAAACGTTACAAAATCACAATGAAACATTTCACCGTGAATTTTCATAGAATCTACTCACCAAACTTCACTTACCACACTTACCGCAGGGGGCGATACGTTGCACAAAGTCACTGCACTTCACGCATGCACTGCACATAATGATAATAAAAATAAAATAATAATAATAATATTAAATAATAATAACAATAAACTTGTTAATAATGAAAAACATTAATAAATATAACATAAATAACTAAATAATTACTAATTAAACGAGACATAGGTAATTGCACTGAATTTATTAAATATATTTATAACAAATCCACATTCAAAAACAACATTTATTTAAAATTGCTCAGGCTTTGAGAAAGGGATCGAAGATTGTCACAGGCAAACTGTCCAGTCCCTAATTGTGGATTCGCCGAATAAATTTCCCAACGTCGTTTTCTGAATTCTTGTCTGAATTTTTGGTGCATGTGATCGCCTCTGCCGAATATGTAGGTTTCCACTATCGACTTTGAATTTCTTCACGCTCGAGGCTGTGTACGCTTTAATACTTGCATAGAGACGTGACTTTAATCTTCTTCTTTCGAGTGACTCCCATACCTTTATTCTTTGGTACGCTGAAAGTAAATTTTGATGCTCTACGCTGGACTTTTTTAGATTTTTTTGTTGCAAAAGTCTGTTCGTGTCCAACTTAC